TTGAAACTGTGGTTGTTGCTTTAAAACTGTGCGTTGCTTGCTGAACTGTGCGTTGTTGGTTGAAACTGGGTTGTTGCTTGCCCTGAAACTGTGGTTTGTTGGTGAAAACTGCCTGCTCCGTGCTTGTTGCTGAACTGGTGGTTGTTTGTTGCTGAAACTTGTTGTTGTGCGAACTGTGGTTGTTGTTGAAACTGTGTGTTGTTGAAGACTGTGTGGTTTCTGAAATGTTTGGTGGTTGTTGTTTCTATGTTGTTGATGTTGTTGCTGTGGAGGAAGTTGTGCTGTGGTTGGAGGCTGTGGTGGATGTTGTTTGGCGGAAACTGTGGCTGTTGCTGGGGAGGAAGTTGTTGTTGCTGTGGTGGAAACTGTTGTGGTTGTGGTGGTTGCTGTTGCTGCTGCTGTGGAGGTTGCTGTTGCTGCTGCGGAGGAGGAGGCTGCTGCTGCTGCTGCTGCTGCTGCGGAGGCTGCTGCGGAGGCTGCTGCTGATGCTGTTGCTGCAGCTGAGGTTGGGGGGAGGGCGTCAGGGCGGGGATATCAGCCGAGTGCTGGCTGTGGTGCCGGTGACCGTGGGAAGCGTGCGGCAGGGTGGCCCCTCTGGATGCCTGTAAAAGAAGAGACTATGTGTTAGCTGAGTGACATAAATAAGCACATAAGCAACTAGAGAATGCAATTCCTTCCGCTAAACTGCAATGCAGATTTCTCCAGATGAAGATCACATGTCGGGAACGTTTCTGAGCATTCACACAGAACTATAACAGGCTCTCTTTTGATTCATTCCTGCTTTCTTCATCAGAAGGCCTTACCCTGGAGCTTTCCTCGATCTGGGTCCCTCTCTTCCAGGCTTCAGAGAAGATGGAGCTCACCACACTCTGGGAGCGGCCGTGAGACGAGCCCGTGTCCACGCCACTGTCCGAGTGGCCTGAGTGATTAGACTGGGATTCTGGAAGTACACAGGAAAGAATGTATATCATTAGTGGAGTAAAATGATAATGGATGTGCAGTATGACGTTATTCGTTATTAGCCAAAAAGTTAAGATCTTGAATTATAAAGAACATTTCTCCTCATACTAAGTGTTTGAAAGACAGGCATTTGCCAGGAAGGGCAGGGGAAGTCTAACAAAGGATGCTTCTGAGCAGCATTATGGGAAATGTAGTTATGGTGTATGTCCAAATGTAAGGAACACATATGTATTATACTGTTGTGTTAAACTCACCAGGTATGCTGGCGGAGCTGGAGCCTGATCGGATGCTGGCGGTCGAGAGAGAGGACCAATCGTAGGCCGCCTCTGTCCTCTTCATGGCTTCCTGGTAGTTCACGTATAGCTGCTTGCCGTACTACAAACAAACACAACATGAGATAAACAAATACTTTAGATAGTGTGAGAGAACATTGTTTGGACTTCTTCGACACTGAACCATTAGTAGGACGTACCTTGGCAATGCGAATCCCATTCACCCACTGGTGCAGGGTCCTGACGTCATCGCAGCACAGATACTTGATGTACTGGGACTTCTTCTGGATTTGTGGATGCTACAGAGAAGTTAATACATATTTCACTATCCACAAATGTCCACTGAAAAAGAGTTTTAAAGCTTTATTTTAAAGGATAATCTTTTAAATATATATAAAAGGACAGATTTAAGGAATCTCCTCTCCTGTCCATAAAATACAACGAGTACCAACATTCTACCCACTTGTTATTGGTAACAAAAGCAAATACTCTTATTAACTTGTTTGGAAGCATTTTGAGAGAGAGCTTGTAACAGAAAGGTGTTTATAAGGGAAGGCTGATGCATAGTGGATGTAGTCTGGCAGTGTAGGAGAGAAGCTCTAATAAGCCTCTAGAGACTTTACAAATTAATTCACACGTTCCATTTATAGGATGAGAAATTCACACCCTGTCAGAGTCTATGTTAAGATACTACATATCTGTTGGTGTCAGAACAACACTCTCCTCCTCCTCCTCCTCCTCCTCCCGCCCCTCCCTCACCTTCAGGGCCAGGCAGTAGTCAGTCGGCGCCTTGTATTTGCTGCGGTAGTCCTGGCCGTAATACACGTTCACATGGTCCAGCTGCAGGAAGCACACCAGATCTCTGGACGCCTGCAGAGAGGAAGACATGGAGGACGGGTTGACACATGGCTGATGTATTTTGGTTACACTTTAATGTATTGTAGGACTCGCACAAAGCGGCAGGATTTAAATAAGGCAACAAAATGATACCATTTGTCCTGTTGCTAAAAATAGAGCCCATGTGTTGTGATCAGGCACTGCAGCCAACAGGAAATACCACAGAGCAGATCTGGTTCTCATAACCCCAACATGTGTGCTCCGTCTTCACTCGGCATGAGCCTAATGCACACTCACTGACCTTGGCTTTGCCTTTGGGGACGTAGTAGATGCCCGAAGCTCTGAGAAGGAAGTAACGTTTCTTCCACGACTTCTTGCCGTCCTCCTTCAGCCACAGGATGCCCTCGATCTCCGGCACGGACACCGAGCCGCCGCAGAAACACTCCTGAGGACACATTCATGTTAAACTTGATCTGGTAGGTAATCCTCCTGATGTGTAGGAAAGATGGGAACTTTAATCTCACCTCTAACAACGCCTCTTTATTCCGGTCAGCCATTTCTGATATCTCCTTCCGCCCCAGCAAGTAGTTCTGGAGATGATTGAATGCAAACAGTGAGAGAAGGGAGTCGGCGGATCACCTCGTCTTATGTTAAATAAATTATTCACCTTTACTCGCTTTACTTGACCTACTTCCTACACAAACACACTCCCTTGTTCACTCCAGCCACCAGCATGCATACACAATGTGTTTGTGTGCGTAGCATATGCTGTCGGGATTAACACAGTGAATGCAGGGGAGGGCATCGAGAGGATGATCCGTCCCCACTGTCCTGAAGTGAAATGTACCTGGGGGTTCTTGAAGAGAGCGTATTTCTCGATGCGCTCGATGAACATCAGCTTGTTGTGGCTGTCCCGGGTCCAGTTCAAAAGATTCTCCACCAGGTTCTCGTGATCCTCGAAAATGCGCTCTGAGAGGGGGAGGAGAGACGAGGGAGGGATGAAGATAAGAAGCAAGATATGCAGTTTTTTCGCTGACACGCAAATGTGCATTTAATTTCCTCCCTCCAGGGATTCCAGTTTTTTAGGTGGGGCAGACATTTTAACTGTAAGCCTGACGATTAGCCAGAGAGTACTTTTCGATTATAATGCTAACAGTAGAGATGTCCCGATCCGATCACGTGATCGGGGATCGGAGCCGATCACGTGATTTTCAAAAGATCGGAATCGGGAGAAAAAAAATCGGGGATCGGGATTTTTTTTTTTTTTGTTTAAATTTTGTATTCAATGTTACAAAACTAAAATGACCATGTTCAAGTCTTAAAGTCATCCTGAGGCCTTAGTTTTGGTTTCAAATTACACAACATCATGTATGTGTTGCTTCTTTGGGGCTTGTTTTCATAGACCTGCTTATTTCTCTCAAATCTGGCTCCAGAGTGGGCGCAGTGTCTAATTGTAGCAGTAAGCTAACAAGTAGCTACTGATAAGCTTTATTTTGTTTTGATCCAATGCTGCACAACTGAACTGATCCAATGCTGCTGTGAAAGAAAGAAGCTATATCCATGTTGGATAGAATATCCAATTTAAATAAAAAAATAACCTTAAGGGACAACTTGAATGCTTTTTTTTCTCTTAATGCATTGCATAAAGATCGGATCGGGAAAAATCGGTATCGGCAAATTGTCAAAATCAAATGATCGGAATCGGATCGGGAGCAAAAAAAGGTGATCGGGACATCCCTAGCTAACAGACTAACGCTCTCTTACCCATCTGCAGCTCGTTGATGGTTTCCACCAGAGCCCAGTCAGGGCTGTATCCACAGTGGGATTTATCCAGCAGGCTGTCCAGCACCTGCCTGACTGTCTGCCTCTCGTCCACCATCATGGTCTTAGAGCTCTCGTCCGACATGTGGACCCTGATCACCAGCTGAGGACGAGAAACGAGAGAAAAAATTGAAAACGTGGGAAAAAACCCTTTTGTATTACGAACACTGTGACTGTATCTGTCCTTCAATAAAAACATGTCAAATCATTTATTTCCTAAGATTCTGATCACCATCCAAGTTCCAGCATATCTTTCCTTTGTATTTCTCTATGTTACAATATTTCATGGCACAGTGGTTTTTGCAGCTGTCCATTTTAAATTAAGGCTCTGAACCTGATTAGGGGATTGAAAAGGATGAATCATGTGCCTGTCAGGCTTCTTTTAAATACTATTTATGGGGTCACCACAGTCACACAGTCACATAAACAACAAGTCAAATCCAATAATCTGGCTAAAGTTTTGCACCCGCAGCCAAAAATCCTCAATAACAAGCAGGCTTTACCTAATCTGAATAACACGTGCCGAATCCATCCTCACTTAATCCCAGCCTACAGAAGATTTCTCCTGGTGTGAAACCAAATTAAAACTTCAATTCCTTGACATCCAGATTAACCCCTCCCACAGGGACCCTGACGTCCAATCCGCGTGGGGGTACAGATGATTGAAGAGAGGCTTGGGCCAATGAAGTAGTTGGGGAACGCTGTGAGGCTAAGACATTTGGGGGGTGTCTGACCTACATTTCTCACAGGAGGGACCCCTTGAAACCCCTAGTCTGGAAGAATAAAAGATAAAAGAAATCACACAGCTTCAACAACATCTGGAAGTTGTTATCCAAATGCTGCTTCAATATCATAGATGTAACATAGTGAGGAAAATTGCTGACGACCTGAGTAATAATTTAGCACTTTTAGTATGTGTCATTGGTGCCAGCACTCTTTCTCTTGCTATAGTAAGTCTATCCCTTTGTGGTGAAACACTGCTGAGTCTCTACCATTCACTGCATGTAAAAGGACACCATTCACTGGGGGAGACACTGGTTAAAAATGTCCTGTCTGTTGAGTCCCATACGGACTTCCCAATAGAGACATGCACACGCCGGTGCTTTCAGGGAGTCCGTATTGTTCACAGAAGAACCAGCACTTGTTTGGCTGGATGTTGTAAATACGACGTTCTGCATTGTCTGTTTTTTCTGAAACCTCTCTCCGGTGTCTCGCTCCCTCCCCGGCAGATACACACATAATCAAACACTGCAATGACCTATTTTCTCTGCGCTCCACCGCCTTGCCGTGGAGGAAGTTCACAAAGAAATGCAGTGTGCGGTGAATATGACGAGACAGCGATTATTACACCAGTCAGAATTTTTTTTTTTTTTCTCCCCGGTAAGTAAAAAGGTGGTCGTACCTTTTTGACCTGTGCCTCCTTGATTTTCTCCAGGGCGACTCGGATCTTCTCTGCCTTCAGTTTGGCAGCTTGTTCCTCCTAGATGGACACGCAGGAGCACGGTTAATATCATGAACACACACACAACCCTTAAAAAAAAAAGGTTTCTGATTTCACCGCCTTGCCTCATCCTCTGGCAGGAACGAGACACCATGCACACACAACTTCATTAAATAGTGAGCAGCCTTCTAAACCATTTAAATGCACAAGCCTCAGGCATGTTGGCGCATAGTGTCGTGCAAAACCCAGATCCAGTTTTTCCATGCTTTTGGGTCTCTTACCTGCCCCCGCCAACAGGATGCCATCACCTCCATCCCGCACGTTTTGTTTGCTTCCACGTGTTTTACCTCAACGTGTGTGAGAATTTTTTTAGCGAAAACACTTTGTTGCTAAAACGCTGCTATTGTGATATTGGTCCAGTTTTCCCCTCAAGTATGGCGCAGCATTTTCTGCCTATGGTTCCATATTGGAGTCATATGGTGCTGCAGCGGCTTCCTTTGATCTTGCTATACAGCAGAAAGGGAAACAATGGCAGAAGATCCCCGCGGGGCGAGAGGCTGCGGATGAGAGTAGATCAGCTCAGCCTCTATGCCCTCCACTCAGAGATACACTGATCTGCTGCGGAGATCATGAACAAGGGCAACAAATCATCCAGATTCATCCCATCCATAATTCATTGGATTCTCAAGAAAAAAACTTAAAAAACAACCCAGGAAAATAAATACATTTTAGTCCGCCTTCCCAGCCAGCTACTGGTGTTTGAAAAGTTATTCCACAATGATCCTCAGTGGGTGAAAATCCACATCTTCCTCACTCACAGAAGAGACTTTGTGGCGAGACGAGCACAACTTGACTACAACCCCAAATGAGACAGTAGGGAGGACCATGCCCCTCCCCCTCACACCCTCCTCCCCTCTCTCCATCACCATCTCTTTATGCCAGATGTGGGGGGGTTTGGGAGCGTGCCCAATCAATGGAGCGTAATCCGCGCAAAAATAGTAGAATGAGAGGGTCAGCCAACCAGCCGAGCCCTATGCTCTCCGCTGTAGCCAATCAGGAGGAGCGGGGAAACCGTGACCGGTCGACGGCCCCGGAGCTAAACCACAGTGACAACGACGGAGAGTGGGATTTGGGTGAATGAAAAGCGGAGGTGCTGAATATTTTAAGTCTATGTGTGTTAAAAGAGAAGGGGTTTTCACAACTAGACCTCCTCCTTCTTCTTCGTGACCCTGACTACCTTTCCACATGACCAGCTCCAGGGCACATTCATGCAATAACACTATGTTTGGCCAACACATGGTGGCAGGCTTTTAGTGTGAGTGAGAGAGAGAGAGAGAGAGAGAGAGAGAGAGAGAGAGAGAGAGAGAGAGAGGGAGTGAAACTCTGTAATCCCAGGTTTCAAGGAGGTTGATGACCTCTCAAGACTGAGAGTACTCCTAGGAGAAGGAGACAAGGCACACCTTGCTGCCCAATATGTATACACATGCCACAACCTGAGGGACAGTGAATGAGACACACACACNGAGTGAGGGAGGGAGAGAGGGAGTGAGAGAGAGAGAGAGAGGGAGTGAGAGAGAGAGAGAGAGAGAGGGAGAGAGAGAGAGAGAGAGAGAGAGAGAGAGAGAGAGAGAGAGAGAGAGAGAGAGAGAGAGAAAGAGAGAGAGAGAGAGAGAGAGGGAGGGAGAGAGAGAGAGGTCACGGGGTTGTAAGGATTCCAGTCCAGAGTCAATCTGATTCACACATAGCGTAACTCCATTATTTCCTCCCCCTTATGACACCTACACCCTGCTCTTTTAATGTATTAATCTGATTGCTATTCCACAGACGTGTTCCCTTCCACTTTCACACCATAGAGCCAATTTAAAAAAATTCTCTTCTGCCGAGCTTGGGAAGAAAATCTCGGCACCCTCTCCCTTTGATGTCTCGTTCCCAAACATCCCGCGCTCATTCAGTATTCTGATTCCAGGGTGAGTTTGTGAGTCTCTGCTGCAGTGTGTAACACTAACACAAACTCCCTCACAGCCGGTCCGCCGCGGGCTATCCATCCTCTCACACTTTTTAAAACCAGTCAAATGCTATCTGCATACATGGACACAGTGAGAGCAGCCACACGCGTTGAAACACTGAATCAATTCCATTGTTCTGTAATAGCAGGAGAAAGAAAAAACTCCACTCCAGGATTTTGGCTGTAAAATGTAAAAAGGAAATAACTGAGAGTCAGCCAGCTCCACTGTTGGCTTTTATTAGGTTGTATTAAACGGATAACTCAAAAGGCTTTTGGAAAGAAATCTGCATGTCTATGCCAGTGACCGCTAATGAACATCTTCCAGTTTATTCTAACACGAGTAGTACAAGGCTGTCTTTTGTTTTACAGTCCATGGAAAAAAAGAAGTCCTGGAAATAATCTAAATCTTTCTCTGGAGTTTGGAAGATTAGTAACATTTGTGGCTTGTCTCATATGCAGTAAATGCTCTTGCTCAATAGGATTTCAAACTCTGGCATGCGTCGTCTACCTCACTTGGCGTCCCCTGCTTTGCACTTGGCGATGATTTGAACAATCACTTTGAACAACAAGTCTGCACACATCTGATCGGAATAAGCTGCAACAAATACAGTCACTGTGAAAACTGCCAAGAGGGGGGGAAGCAACACATGATGGATACAGATGTGAAGATACTGGATATCAGAGAGGGGGGCACAGAAGGGGTCCAAATGCAACCACGATACACATCATTTAAGGATGCATCCATAGGACTGCAACTTGCCATTCTTTTTATTATTATTAACAATTTAGTTTATATAATTTTTTTTTTTTTCTAAAACTATTATTCGCAAATTAAAGGAAGAGTAGAGTTCTCATTTTGTGCAACCAACCACTTCAAAACAACTCAAAAGCTACAGCCACAGAGTTCTGACCGATAACTACACCGATCATCATTGTAACTCTATAAACATAATTTCATGAACAAAATCATAAGCAAGCTACAAGGAGACAGAGAGGACATGAAGGAAAGGAGACAAGAGATGACATGCCAGGGAAGACAAGTGTGGAAGCAAGTAGGACCAAACGTCCAAGTGTATTTAAGCATGGTGAAGTAAGTGCAAGGTAAATGCTGAAAAACTAATGTTCCGCAGATCGTCTCGTAGAAAATCCTTTCATTTTCATTCCTGGCAATACAGTGTTTTCACTTGCCACATGCATTTCTCTTCATTCGTGCATTCCTTGTTGGAGAAAGGCTGACATCAGCTGAGACACTGTTAAGTCTCTTGTTTTAATTAAGGGAAATAAATAAGTCTTTTCCAGCAGCTGTTTTCAGAGAATGAATTTTTCCCAAGGCATGCAAAGCAGAAGAGAGAAGCAGTACGTACACACACACACACACACACACACACACACACACACACACACACACACACACACACACACACACACACACACACACACACACACACACACACAATCCTTCACTTGTTAAGCCTCGAGGTCAAAGTTGAGCTCCACCATAACTGATTAAGACGTGCTTCACACTGCGTTGGATGCATGTGACAAAGAGGTGAGTGTAAGTGAGCTCTTCTTCAAATATGTGTCTGGGCGGTTGCATATGGATAATCTGTCCTCCATGCAGCATTATTCTCCCGGTGGATGTTACTGGTATCAGATAGAGTGCTCTCATCTGTGATACACTCTTAAGTCCTGCAGCTACAGTAACTCCTGAGGATAAGCACAGAATTATTCTAATTCTCTGGGGAAAAGGTCACGGCGAGTCTTTGTGGTCACACCACTGTTCTGCTAAACAAAAACAACCTTTGTTATGTCAGAAAGCATGGATCGCAGCTCAATTTCACATAATTTGTTCCTTTCCTGTCAGCTTTTTAAGTTTAAATACTGGTGGTTTAATTTCGAGTGCTCACCATCTGCTTGTCTCTTTTTTTATTTGCCTCTACACTACTGCCAAAAACTATAGTTCACTCCATGACTGCCAAAACCATAGTTCACAATGAGGCTGCGTTTCATAATTGATGACCTTCCTCTGCTGTCTCATTTAAAGAGACACTAATATGTGTCATTAAGTATGTCTCAAAGCGATTTCAAAAGCAAAAAATAGAACAAATTTAAGGAAAGACTTGAAATATTTGCCCTTATTTTAATACTGACTTCTCCAGGACAAGTGCCTGTGATTGGCCACTGGGTGACACTGTTCTCCCACAGTGCCACGCTGAAGGCTTTTAGCACTGGATTCCTCTCTTAATTCAAAGCTGAAATGTGAATTATGTTGGCCTTGCTAGCTTATTTTTTCATCTTCAAAGCACTCTATAAAAAATGTGCATTTCACTAACCTCCTATAAAAGAAGCATGAGCTCATAAAAGCCAGGTTTCCTTCATTTGATCGACATTGTTTAGAAACTGCACCTTGAAAATCAACACTGTGCAGACAAGTTCTAAGCACTTCTCTTATGCTTAGCAACATGTATGGAATAAATCAATGTTGGACAGCCAAGAGGTTGCATAGCTGTTGTAAAAGAGTAGGAAGGAGATGTACCTCATGGTGTAAAGCAAAGTGCCGTCATCCTGGAGCCTCAGCAGCTTGTTGGGCGTGGTCATGTTGTGAGCGATGGATTTCTTTCCATTAAGGAAGAAGGTGTCGGGGGTCCAGATGTTGCTGGCGAGCAGGTTGTTCAACGGCAGCATCTCCATGGGCCCTTTGAAGCACAGACGCTCGTCCTTCCAGCTCTGACGGAAGAACACGTCGATGGTGTACTCCTGAGACCACAGAAACAGGAACATTTCCACCAGAAATATGTAGCACGTGATGTCAGTGAAGTGCACACTGCTCAAATGTTTACCAACCTGCCTGCCCTCTGATCATCTCTATCTCAAAACGTGCTGAAGGGTGCCAAAGGCAGAAAGTTCTATTTCACTCTGGAGTTTCAGAGCTCATTTCGTCTGGTGGTGTATTTACCCAAAACAAGAATTTAAAGTTACGTAGAGCCTCTGCTGCAGCATCCTTTTCTTCCCTAATGGAGCTTTTTGGTGTCTC